AAGGCGCAAACACTCAACGGCTGCCAATTATATGGTATACGAGAGTAACTTAAATTGCCATGCAAGTATTTAACAAGCAGAGAAACAAGCACATTTACCTGAGGACATTTATAGGGAAGTAGTTTGCGGTTCACGAAATGATATGCATTGGTACAGATTCATGAGCAAATGACTTATGGTTCTGAATTCCCAGGGCCCATCTGTCACTGTGTCTTAGCATTATTATTTATTACTTCAACAGTGCTCAGTGGATGCACGTGACTTTCACCTAGGTCCCTTGCCAGATGGAAAATAGACAAACTGAGAACTGTTAGAAAAAATTCACAGTCTGCAACACATCGGATGTTGTGCAGCATCACAAACGTCTATCTTCTAAATGGTTTATTTTTGCCTCTGTAAGGGATTTGGGGGGATAGAATGCTTCTCAGAGCAGGAATTAGTTGGGGAGGTAATTAGAAAAAAAATGATTGGAGAATGGGAATTACTTGGAGGGTGCCTTCAAGCTTGGGCAACATTATAAAATATGTGAAATCCTTAAAATATATACATACATATATATATGTATATGTATATGCATATGTATATGTGTGTGTATATATATATATATATATATATATATATATATATTGATATATATATCCCTCTAACAAAAATTGTTAGACATTTCTTGACAGAAACTTCAATTTCTCTTTCCTGTTGTGCATCAAGTGTGTTACTCCACAGTGAACTTCTCAAAAAAAAAAATTCAATCTTGTCACTCTCAGATTTGCATTCCCCATGCATCTTCCCTGACTTCTGATGAAGTCTGAGTTCTTTGCAGGGCATGCAAGCTCTCCACGGTGCAGCCAGGCCTGCTCTCACAGAATCCTCTCTGGCTGCTCCCTGGGTACCCCCCATCTGCTACCCCTGACTCTTCAGAGGCCTCCAAAGCCACCAGGCTGTTCCATGCCCTTGTGTCTTGGAGTATTCCTTTTCTCTGTGTGTGAAATTCTTTACTTCCATGCCCCATCGCCTGTGTGATGGATCACACTGACTCATCCTTCAAGACATTCACATTCCTCTTTCTTCAAGACTTCTATGATATTCCCCAAGCAGAATTTTTCATTTTTTGTCCTCCCCCCCACACACACACATTCCATTTTTACCCACAATTATAGCATTTTCATCAAACACTAAAGGTTTATCTCTCACTGTCTGAATTCTCACTATATAAATAACTATTAATACTTATATTTGCAAAAACATCTGTCCGTACATCACTAGGTATCTAGATTCACTCTAAGGAACCTTCACAGGTGCCAGTGGGAACTGTCAGTTAAGCTGTGCATGAACCCTGCAAGAAGGTGTGGTGTGCCAAATACAGGTGAAGCTCTGTCACGATTTGGGGCTAAATCTTGTCCGGCTTGTTTATCTACTTATCAGTGGATAGGTGTGAAGTGCATCACCACTTTTCTCTTCCTCATTTTCCCCTTGACATACAGCCTTTTCACAGCTGGGCTGAGGGACACACACACATACACACACACACACACACACACACACACACACACACACGCACTAATTTCGTGCACCAGGCCTCTAGTATATACATTAAAAAAAATCAATAAATAACCCAATTTTTAAAGGGGGGGGGGGAACCTAAATAAGTTTCTCAAAAGAAGATATACAAATAATCAACAAGTAAATGAAAAGTATATGCTCAACTTCTCTAATCATCAGGCAAATCAAATAAAAAACAAAATGAGATACCACCTCACACTTGTTAAACAAAAGATGTTGTCATGGTAAGAATATGAATGTTGTTGGTGAGAATGTAAATTGGAACAGCCATTATGGAAAAGAATATGGAGCTTCCTAAAAATTAAACATAAAACTACTTTATGACTCAACAATCCCACTTCTGAAAAAGTAAGTTAACTTTTAAATACAAGCATGTAATCTCAAGTCAATGTATTCTTTTATCTGTATTAACATTCATGTTAATAGAAGTATGTGGTACAAAAAAAGATATCAATAATGTTATAACGTTTGGGAGAAGACCACAATGATGAAAATTCAATGAGATGGTACATTTCAAGCTGGCTCGGGACCTCATATTTAACCATATTTGACCAAAATCTCAGCCAGCATTTAAACATTGAATACCAGTTTTAATGAGATATGAAGCTGTGCTGATAATTTCAATATTAGTAATGCCATATTATTAAAATCTGCATTAGTTTTGTATTTAATCCAATCATACCAGAATGGAAAATAAAAAAATCATACCTAATGTTAATTTTCATTTTTTAAGTCATGCAGATTGAAAATAAATCAAAATTCAATTTTAGTAAATAACTCATCCAAATGTTGTGGAACATCAGATAATACTGAAAATGGCTCATTTATAGCACTTTGAAAACAACTTGGGTCATAAATCAAGTTTTTCTTTTGAACAAATACTTTGGCTTCTAATATTCTAACTATTGATATTAAGACCTCTGCTCATTCAGTGTTCTGTTCATTTGGAATGAATATATAATTTATGTATCAAGTCTGCTTCTGCTCTTTTATCATTGACTATGACAACCGAAGCAATGCCTACTGTCATTTTCATGATGCAAAGTCCAAGTCTTAATTTATTAAATAACTTAAGAAACAGACTTTAATTCTAGGAAAATGTAATGCCTTTGTTCATTCAAGCTAGAATCTCATGTGAGTCCACACATGGTATTTCAATCCCAAAGCACCCCACCCAGAACATTCAGAGACTGCCACTGCCTGAGTGACCAATACACACAAGGCCAGGGTCATTCAAGGTCCTCCAGGGAATCCAAGAATTCAAAACCAGGCTGGGCCATGCTGGATAGTAAAGTGCTAATCACTTAAAAGATATCTCTAGCAGTCTCACAAAACAAACTTCCCCCAAGCTAACATTCTGGTTTAGCTACCAATTTTTTAAACTTGGCCAAAATAACCATCCTACCACCTCTGGAAGACCCAGACAATTGGAGTCATGCTAAAATCCACTGGTTGAGGCATGGTGGATGTCTACTGCTCCCACGAATCAACATTTTTGCAGTGGATTATGTATCACAACTCATAGCCACACAGCATTTACTGGGGCCCATGCTTACTGCACTCATGACTGCCTTTTGGGGAGCCTCTAAATTTACCAGTTTCTTGCTAATTGCATGCGGTTTGTTGTGGCTTTGGTGGTTCCTTTCAAGTTAAGTCCTATACTGAATTGAATTTTTTTTTTGTATTACTACCCCAATTTTCTGGAGTCACCCAACCAACTTCAGTAAATCTTTTTCAAAGCTACTTACAACCAGGTGGGCATTCAAATGGCTAGCTGAAACTAATTGTGTGGTGAGGTGAAGAGTGTCCCACTAAACTCTACGTCCATTCAAAACTTCAGTATGCAGCCTTATTTAAAAACTAGAGGCCCAATGCACAAAATTCGTGCAAGGGGCTCAGCCCTCACAACCCCAGCCTGCCCTCGGAGCCCCACCTTCGTCCAAAAGGTCATCTGGATGGTTGTTCTGCTGTTTGGTCTAACTAACATATTAGCTCTTCATTAGATAGGATAAGGTATTTTGAAAATGTAATTAATTAAGAGGAGGTCATACTAGATTAGTGGGGGCCCTAAATCCAATTTCTGGTGTCCTTAAAAGAAGCAGAAAAGGTCCACAGAGACACACAAAAAGAAGAAGGCTATGTGAAGATAGGAGTCGAAGAGATTGGAATGATGCATTGATAAGCTAAGGAATTCTAAGAATTACCAGGAATCACCAAAAGCTAGAAATAGGCAAAAAAAAAAAAAAAAAAAAAAAAAAAAAAAAAGGCTTTTCCCTAAAACCTTCAGAGAGATCAAGGCCTTCTGACACCCTGTTTTGAACTGTGGCCTTCAGAACTGTGAGACAATATATTTCTATCATTTCAAGCCACCAAGGTTGTGGTCATTTATGACTACCAACTAGGAAACTGATACAAACTCCAAAGCACTTAGGGCTCTTTTTCATTTAGTTCTTTAAAGCCCACTATGACAATAAAATCAAAGAAGAAAAGTCAGGTAGTAACAAACTCATTGACAGAAGCACCAGGGTGATTAATATTTAATAAATGCATCTGTAAATGAGCTTCCAACCTCACTCCTGTCCTTCATCTCTTCTATCAGGTGCATCCTATTGTACAGAGTGAAATACTTATGATACAGTGCCATTCACTTATTTAACCTCTACGAAAGAAGAGATATCCCATGAAATAAAATTTCTTTCTATTCTATTTTATACATATATATATTGTTGATTTCAGAGAGAAAGGCAGAGGATGAGAAAGATAGAAACATCAATGACGAGAAAGAATCATTGATTGGCTGCCCCCTGCACGCCCCCTACTGGGGATCAAGCCTGCAATCCAGACAAGTGCCCTGACAGGGAATTGAACCATAACATCCTATGTCATAGGTCAATACTCAACCAGCCCTTCCTTTTACTTTTTCTTTTATTTACATATATATATATATTTTACCATTGTTGACAATTTCATGCTACATATTTTTTTTCTATAGTCCTGGGATTCCTTTGCATTTCAAATCCTTTCTTTTTACCCCTTTATATCTTCAAAATGCTTCAGGTTAATGACATCATGCTGAATATTATCAGTCTGTAATATATATCACATAGCACTATTCAGCAGTCATAAATTAATAGGTGCCTTGTTTTGGCCTTAGTCACTCATAGGTGGCATTATAGACCCGACGCTGGCCTTCACGGAGCTGGTGGTCAGGTCACCTACCTCCTCCCAGATATTCCAAGATTTTGTGCCTTACACAATTTATTTCACTTTTTAAATATTCTTATGCATCAGATTTTTATCATTTTTTAGAGTGAAACCCTATTTGAAAAGACTTCAATGTAGAAGTAATAAAGAGATGTTTCGCTTTTTTGAAATTAATATACTGATTTAGATTTTCAATGCATTTTGGCTTTTGGCTTAAATAACAGGGGAAGGCTCACCTTGACAATCCCCCGGATGTGCATTTTGGCAATCATCTCTGCTGTGTAGAGGAACATCAATAAAGTATCCAGAGTAAAGGTCACATACTGAAGAGGAGGGTAGTGTTCGAATGTCATGGGTGTGTTCATACAGACAGAAATGACGCTGATGATGGCACAGATGCGCAGCAGAGAGTGAACCCACTGCAAAATAGTCCAAAGTTATTATTTGACATCAAAGAATGGTATTTTAAACTTGTATTATGAACTATTGTACATTTGGAAAACATAATATTGAGATTGAAATATTTCACCAGTAAGAAAAAGGAAACTAATGTCTGTTAAGTGCATATAAAATATTTCACACATTTTACATAATTTAATTCTCAAATCAGTCTAATTTCCACATCAATACACGAAGACTCGGGGAGATTTTGAAACCATTCTGTGGTCATGCATTAATAAGAGCCGAAGTCTAGATGTGAAATTGCTCAGGCCACAATGCAGAGGATTGTGATTCAATTAAAATGTTAGTAACTTATTCATATGGAAACTTGATGTACTGTTACTTTTAAACCTTTTAATGTACTATGAAAACATTAGAATAGAGATCATATTTATGTTTATTGGTATCTAGTGCAAATCACAAATGCTTTTTAAAATGACCTGAAGCATAACTCTGCCCATGTGGAGGGCTTTCTTTCCAAATGTGTCTTAGATGTAACATTTAAAAAATATATATTTTGAAATCTGATATCATCCTACATTTTCAAAAGATAATAAATGGACTTTCCTCTTTATTTTGGAGAATTATACAAATTTAGCCGAGTTATCTTTCCCAAAATTCCCCCCCAAAAAAAATTTCTGTTCAATTAATTCTAGCAGTATATATGCTGTGTGAAGATTTTCCTTAAGAACAACATAGAGAAGTAGGAATTAAAAAGATAAATGTGTGTAAACCATAAAAATATGAGAATAAAACATAGGCAGTAACATCTCAGACATTTCTTGTAGCAATATTTGTTCTGATATGTACCCTTGGGCAAGGGAAACAAAGGAAAAAATAAACAAATTGGACTACATCAAACAAAAAAGCTTCTGCACAGCAAAGGAAACTATCAATAAAATGAGAAGGGAACCCACTTTATGGAAAAACATATTTGTCAATAATATATCTCATAATGGATTAATATACAAAATATTTAAAGTATAATACTTATACAACTCAACACCAGGAAGACAAGCAATCCAATTAAAAATGAGCAAAGGACCTGAATAGACACTTTTCCAAAGGGAACATAGAGATGGCCAAAAGACATGAACAAAAGAAGGGTTCCCCCACAACAAATCTGTTTCAAATTTAAAGTAAGTATGCATTTTAGTTAAATGTTAATTATTTTAGTTATTGTTTCTAAGGAAACATCTATAATACCGCCTTTGTTAGAAGTTCTCAGAAAGCTCTGCATGTAGTAGACACTAGTATCTATTCTGTTCAATTATTTCAACACAAATAGAAGACCTACTATGTGTCAGAAATTATCCAGAGGACGAAAAATGGAAATAAGAGAATTCTAACTCATCACTACTTTGCAGTCTGATGTGCATAACATATATATTTTATTTATATATAATATAAATGTATACTTATATACTCATATAAAATTAGTGGAAAAGAAAGAGGTTCATTCTGTCTGTGATGGAACTTTTCAGAATGGATAGGGCACAGGTGACCTCTGAGACGGCTTTCATGAATGAGGGGGACTTGACTCTTCAGAGTTGTAAGGAAAGGGCCTCTGGGCAGGAAACTGTGAGATTTTAGGAAGTCACTGATGTGGCTCAAATGGACAGGGTATCATCCATCTAAGATAGGGAAGCTGCTGGACAAGTTAGAGGCAGAATACAAAGAGCCTTGACTATAAATTAAGCCATTTTATTTGCAATGCAGATAATAAGGATGTTTCAATGATCATAAAGCATATGGGTTATGTGAACATAAACGAAAACATGGGAGGAAATGCGAGCAGGCTGGGAAGAGGTCAGGAAGGTAAGTTAGATGAAGAAAGACTCAGGGAGACCATGGCTGATGGTCTTGATCATGTTCAAGGGACAGGCAAGTACTGAGAAAGTAACACTTTCCTTCCTTACTTCAGCTTCCACTTATTCTATTTTATATTTGTACATAAGTATAAATGTGTATTGCATACAGGTCACAGATATGTTATGCATATCAGACTGCAAAGTAGTGATTCAGAACCGTGCTGTTTCCATTTTTGCATCCTCTGAGCCCAGCATAATTTCTGACACATAATGAAGCTGATCCTATCCTGGCTGGTAGAGCTCAGTTTCCAAGACCATGGACATGCCATTCCACCTTAGCTCTGGCTGCTAGCCTGGCTACTATACAATGGTACCTGGTATAGAAGATCTCCCCCTCAAGTTCCCACCAGCTTAATTAGACAGAGAAGGTGACAAAGTTCTTCAGAGATACTATGCACTATCTAATTAACCTTTACTTTTACTCAAAACTAGCAACTCAGAAAGAAGAGCTTTAATTCCAAACAGTTGATTATCTCCTCACAGATTCATGCATGTTGAGAATGATAAGCAATGAGAGCTTGGTAGAAGAGGTCACTCCTGTGGGACATCAGCTTCGGATCAGCCTGTGAAGTGGTATTATCTCTACACTGGGTGACTGTGAGGACAGGACAGCATGCACAGAGGAAGAGAGGAGAGTTACTCACATACCTGCCTATGTAAGTAACTCAGAGGGAAACCTCGTTATATCATCTCATTTGTTTTTATCTTCCAGACTCCTAGACTCATCCATAGTCAACTGCAGCTCAAACACACGTTTCAAAGCCAAAGGTACATGATTTTTGAATATATGAATCAAATTTCCTTTAAATCAGCATGTGCTACTCCATACTTCAAAAAAGAAACTTACTGGCTTGTTAATCCAGAGTATGTCAGCATTGTCTGACAAAGATTCATCAGGACCAAAGTCAGTAACCGGCTGGGCCTCCACCCTGGAGCTCTGTTTCCTTTTGAGCATGCTGGAGTTAGCTCTGGTGAGGGAGTACAAAACGGCAGTCTGAGAAAAGAGAGAAAGTTGTGTTAGTGACCTAAACCATTATTACTCTGATCACTAAAAAAACAAGTGCTTAGCCCTAACCAGTATGACTCAGTAGGTAGAGCGGCAACTTGCGGACTCAAGAATCCCAGGTTCAATTATAGTCAAGGCCATGTACATTGGTTGCAGGCACATCCCCAGTAGGGAGTGTGCAGGAGGCAGCCTATTGACATTTCTCTCTCATCAACGTTTCTAACTCTTTCTCCCTCTCCCTTCCTCTCTGTAAAAAAATCAATAAAATATATTAAAAAAAAGCTGTTGATCAGCACTTGTCTCTCTTTCTCTCCAGGCCTGGCCAGCAGCCATGCCTCCATTTCTCTCCAGGCCTCCACTGGGGTTGCTGATCAACCCTGCCTTTCTAATCAGGCCCTGTTGAGGCCCAGAGATGATGACTGGCATAGAAACTGAACAATCAGACATCCTCCAAGAGGTCCCAGATTGGAGAGGGTGCAGGCTAGACTGAGGAACATACACCCCTCCCCCCAATGCACCAATTTTGTGCACCAGACCTCTAGTAATAAACATTTTCAAACATGGATGCCTATTCATATATTAATTATATACTCATTCAGTTATACTGTATATCCTAACATAAAAACCCTAGGTCTGTCACATCCGCAATGACTGGAGGCTCCACCAACAGAAAGTAAGTCCTGCAGTCAGTGATGGGTTGTCGCGGTGACCCAGCACTGACTGCTGAGGGAGCTGTGAATCTGGCCCAGAGAGAGGCCTGAAGAGAGAAGCAGGATCTGATCCATAGCCTCTGTGGCAGCTGTTGATCAGCACTTGTCTCTCTTTCTCTCCAGGCCTGGCCAGCAGCCATGCCTCCATTTCTCTCCAGGCCTCCACTGGGGTTGCTGATCAACCCTGCCTTTCTAATCAGGCCCTGTTGAGGCCCAGAGATGATGACTGGCATAGAAACTGACCAATCAGAACCAAATCTGGGTCAACTGTGAGGAACCAATGGCTGCCAGGAGGTGGAGCTTTTGACACTGACTGGCCTAGAAACTGACAAATCAGAACCAAATTGACTGGCAGAGGAGGGCAGTTGAGGTCAAGATCATGTTTGCAAGGGAAGGCAGTTGGGGGTCATTAGGCCAGCAGGAGAGGACAGTTGGGGAGGACCAGGCTTGCAGGGTAGGGCAGTTGGGGTAACCTAAACCGGCAGTTGGACATCCTCCAAGAGGTCCCAGATTGGAGAGGGTGCAGGCTAGACTGAGGAACATACACCCCTCGCCCCAATGCACCAATTTTGTGCACCAGACCTCTAGTAATAAACATTTTCAAACAGAAAATTTAAAAGAATGAGATAAACATCAATATGAATAAAAGCTTGATTTTTTTTTTTCTTCATCCAATAGATCAGTGGTTCTTAACCTTTCTAATGCTGTAACTCTTTAATACAGTTCCTCATATTGTGGTGACCCCCAACCATAAAACTATTTTCATTGCTACTTCATAACTGTAATTTTGCTACTATTAATGAATCATAATGTAAATATCTGTGTTTTCCAATGGTCTTAGGTGACATTGGTAGCAGTTCTCAACCTGTGGGTCATGAGATGTACAATAGATCACTTGTGTATAATACTTCCTAAACAGTTTGCATGCCAGTTTAGAGACTGCTGGTCTAGATGAACTGGAGTTAAATAGCTTTCCTCCTAAGAGTACACACATTAGTAGGACATTTTTTTGAGTCTATGTTCATATACCCAAAGCTGCCTCCACTTAAAGGTCGTCTTGCCAGAGCACAGCTGACCAATGCAGATGAAATACTCAGATGTTCCCAGGACTTTCCCTTGGGTTAATTTAATGTGACACTCACAGACATCTGTTTCCAATGACAGCCCCAAGCTGATCTTCTGATTGTGTCCTTGCCACAATGGATGTGATCCAGAGAGCAATGGGCAGAAATTACTTTAAATGAAGTTATTTTTTCTTTTATGAATTGTGTTATATCAATTCTTTCAGCTACTCTGAAGTAAACCCAAAGATTACATTGAAGAGGGAGATGAGATGCCTGCTTGCATATAAATTTCCACTATTCTGAGTCATCTACATCTTGCTAAGTATGGCACCTCCCTTTATCCATTGCTACTACCCTCCATCCAGTGGCCACTGAACCAAGGCCTACTGTATGTCCTGCTTTCAGGACACAAAAGCAAGTAAGTGCAAGAGATGTTGTAAAGGCAGGTGGTGCCTGATGACCCTGTGAATCCACAGAGATTTCTTATTTGATTAACACCTGGATTGAGTCTTAGGGGAAGAAGAGGAGTGGATGTATTTTGGATATATACTATGTTTGGGGCACTTTGCAATGATATTATTTATTTATTTATTTATTTATTAAGTAAATCTTTATTGCTCAGATTATTACAATTGTTTCTCCTCCCCCCCTATCCCCCCCCAGAGCTCCCTTCCACCCGGTTCCCCCTGCCCATCCTCTGCCCTTACCTCCCCCTCCCACATTGTCCTCATCCATAGGTGTATGATTTTAATCCAGGCTCTTCCTGCACCCTCCACATCCTTTTCCCCCTGATAATTATCAATCTACTCCCTTTCTTTGTCCCCGATTCTATTATTTTCACCAGTTTATTCTGTCTATCAGATTTTTAATTCACTTGATTTTTAGAATCGCTTGTTGATAAATATGTATTTGTTGATCATAATTTTTATCTTTTTTCTTCTTCTTCTTCTTCTTAAAGAGTACCTTTCAGCATTTCATGTAATACTAGTTTGGTGATGAACTTCTTTAGCTTTTTCTTATCTGTGAAGCTCTTTATCTGTCCTTCAATTCTGAATGATAACTTTGCTGGATACAGTAATCTTGTTTATGCTTTACAACTAACAGAAGAGAGAAAACATCTAGTCTTTTTATGAAAGCACTGGAAACTCCAATCTTGGGCAGCTAATAACTTGAAATGTAAAAGAAGCTCCATATGGTTACAAAACCTAAGGTGTTTATCCTTGACCACACTGATGTTGAGCGCTGATTAGGAGAATTTCTAAAAGATAAGGGGAGGATTAGGTCCTCCAGGCAGCTCACAGTGGTGAAGATGCCATGTCAAAAAAAATGCAATTGCTTTAACACTAAGCAGGTGCACTGGCTTTTTTATCTGCTGCTGCTTGGAGCTAGAGAAAGAACCGAAGCCAAGGACAATGAGTGCCATTCAATCCCAGGAGGAACAGAAAGTGGAAAAAATGTGTTTGAAGTATGTGCAACTGCAATTTTTACTGGGAAGGAGAACACAGAAGCTCAGGACAAATGGATGTTGAATCTGAGTCCCTATGTTTGAGCACCTATCTCTACATCTATGTTCTCCTTGATGCGCCTAGGTCAGTATATGTGCCTAACTCTCCTATTCCCAGAAGAAAACAGACTAATCTGCTTTAAGATGTGCTAGGTATCTCCAGGTTGTCTTGTTCTGAATATTGGATTTAAATATGAACTTTGCAGTATGCTGCACTAATTAATTTTACTTTACATAATTGAAGTTAGGGATACTTGACATCAATATGTAAATGTATGCAAAATATTCAAATTGTGCTTGTTCTCTGATTTACTGTGGGGGGAAGCATCTGGTGGCCTCAATTTAATGCTTCTTGAATGACAGTCTCTAATGCACCCAAAACTGAATACAGAATCTTTTAGAAATCCTTCAAGACTATACAATGCTGAGGATGAGATTAAGAGTGGCTTTGCAGGGTTGTTCAAAAGTGACACAAGAAAATTTTACAGGCCTAGCTACTAGCTTTAATATCACTCTCACCAAGTCAGTGAAGACTTATGAATGGCCATTTACTGTTCTTATGACTTGGCCCTAAATTGCATCTGAAAAAAATATTTTATTCATAAATGTGACACCTTCACATATGAATGCCATGCACTTTTATTATAAATACCTCATCCAAAGCAAAACAAATTTGTTTACCCAGAATTCATTTTATTAAATCTCCATGTTGGCTCTTATTTGACCCACCAAAATAATGTAACTATAATGAATGACATTAGTTGTCACCTACTTTCACCTCATTTTATCTACTGCAAAAGTGCCACCAACTCAAACTGACCAAGAAAACTATCTGAACTATCTGTCCAAACTCTGCTGAAACCTGTTTAATCCACACTTATATTAAAACTCAAAAAATAGCTCCTGAATCACTGACATTTTGATGAATTTAATAATATTAAATATTATGTAAAACATGCAAGTAGCAAAATAAATTCAAGTTACAGACATATAAGGACTCCAAGATGAATTGAGGCAATAGATGGTAATAATTTTCCTTTAGATACACAAATATTGTTTTTCACATTTATTTATGTTGAATCACTATATCTGAGTGCAGCAAACCTGTTATTACCTGATAAAGAACAGCAGGCATATTTAAGTATCCTAGGTAAACTTATTATTTTAGTAGGAAATTGCTTCTGTGTATCTTAGCCTTATCACCAGTGTGTATTTATAACCTAATGTTTTTTTCTGTTTGCAGAAGTGTCTTTTATAAAGCACTGTATTAAATTCAAAAATATATGGCTTCCAGTAGATTTTTCACACTTATTAAAAGTAGGTGGTATTTAAATATTCAATAGTATGAGGAGGCCACACAGTTACAATATGTAGGTGGATAAATCTTTTGCTCAGACAGAAAAGGTATTTTGGTTCATTTGTTTTTATTTTAAGTGGTTAAAATCCAGCTTTATATTCTTTGATAGCCATATACTTTCCTTATATCATTCCAGCTCTCTCTTGACCAAATTAAAGCTAATAAATTCAGTTTTCTTTAACTGTGAGGTGTTGAACACTGTAGGCCATTTCTTCTCCTTGTAAGCCTCTTGGGTTTGCATGACACTGTTTTCAATCTTTTGTCTTCTAAATTACGGTTTACAGCATGTCCCTTACTGTCACATGTGTCTGTTCTCTATACTCAATGTCTTAAATGAGCATCTGCTCTTATAG